AGTAACAAGTAACAACTGTTATAGTATTTGTTACAGTGTATCAATGCACAAGATCTTAATGAAAACCCAGCGTTTGTTCCAGTGACTTATTCTTGATGTCCTCTTCATAGTCTTCAGTAGAGTTTTGGCAAGGGTAGGTAAGCTTCAAAACTTGCTGTGTAGTTGCAGTTAGACTTGACCTCTGATCCTTTTGTTCTCCTTTGCAAATTCTCAGAGTCTGGGTGCGTAGCCACACCAGGCTTTCAAATCGGACCTGAAGCTGACAGTATTTCACATTCGTTGACCCTTCTGCTTCTGCCTCTCTGGTCTGTAGCAGTTTTTTTTTTTTTTGTGTGTGTGTGTTTCCCTGATAACCCTTAGAAGGGTTTTTGTTTTGTTTAAGACAGGTCTTAATGTAGCTCTGGCTGGTCTTGAACTTTTGATCTTGCCTCCTCTTCCGAAGCCCAGTTTATGTGGTACTGGGGATAGAACCCTGGTCCTTGTGCAGGTTAGGCAAGCAATTTATCAACTGAACTGGATCACAGCCCTTGAAAGGGGTGTATGCGTGCGTGCGTGCGTGCGTGCGTGCATGCATGTATTTGAGACAGGCTACCATGGCCATTTCACATTCATCATTTAGATGTCCTATAAAGCCTTTCTTTCATCCAGCAAGTGTTCAGAATAACAACACCACAAATGTCCCTTAAGTTTCCATAGAAAAAGTTGTAAGCCATCCAGTTGCAGTAGGAATGACCAGCTCATATGGTGCCATCTTGTGGCAAGAGCTTAAATATAACGAATATATTTCCTTACTGGGTAAGTAGTGGATTCTTTTTAGGGGGAGGGGCAGAGTTTGCAACAGGCTATCAATGGGACTCTTTTTGAGAAGAAGTCACTGTGAAGTGCTAACTACCCTGGAACTCACTATATAGTTTTTGTTTGTTTTGGTTTTGGTTTTGAAAACTGGGTGCAGTGGTCCAGAACTTGAGTTGTTGAGGTAGGAGGACTATCAAAAGTTAGTGGCCAGGCGGGGCATGGTTGTGCACACCTTTAGTCCTAGCATTTGGGAGACAGAAGTAAGAAGGTCTCTGAGTTCGAGGTCAGCCTGGTCTACATATTAAGTTCCAGGTCAGCCAGGGCTACACAATAAGATACAATTTATTTTCAACTATTTAAAAAATTTAAATTATTTTATTTATTTATTTATTTTGTTTTGTTTTTTGTTTTTGTTTTTGAGACAGGGTTTCTCTGTGTAGCCCTGGGTGTCCTTGAACTCACTCTATAGACCAGGCTGGCCTCGAACTCAGAAATCCACCTGTCTCTGCCTCCCAAGAGCTGGGATTAAAGGTGTGTGCCACCACTGCCCAGCGTTTTTGTTTTTGTTTTGTTTTATCTGCATTTCTTTTATGCTGAATTTACTCCCATGCTGTACATTTTTGTTTCTTCAGGGGTATCTTTTTCTCCTGTGCGACCTCCTCTTCTGGCTTTGGAACAGTTTGTTTCTTTCCAGTGAGGATCATCTCCAAGTGGTAGGGGAGTTCATGTACAGGTTAATCCGGCGTGAGCTCTGTAGGTTCGTCGGCTCTGTAGGTTTGTCGGCTCTGTAGGTTTGTTGGCTCTGTAGGTTTATTGGCTCTGTAGGTTTGTTGGCTCTGTAGGTTTGTCGGCTCTGTAGGTTCGTCGGCGCATCTTAGGTGCATTGTTCACCTGGATATGTTCAATGACTAGAGAATCCACATGGAAACCCCTAAGTTCATGATTACTCTCTGCACTGGTAAGCATGTGCTGCAAAAATCAAGTACTCTATATTGGCCGGTGACCCTGTGTCCAGCCCCATTGTTTGGCCTGGGAGTACCTACACTCCACCATTCTGCCACATTGCTTCTTTAAAGTGACATCCTTCAAACACTTGGTGACTTCCCAGATAAGCATACCTTGATGGCTTGGCAGTTTCACCGGTGTTCTTAAACTGAACAAGAAGATTTGAACTTCTTGATTTGCATGATTTTGTAGGAGTTTCTGGGTTATTAGAGTGTGGGGAAAATTTAAAAGGCCACCTCTGCGGTGGGGCCCCAGAGGGGCTTCCACTGCTGTGGCGGGTCCCAAATTTGAGAGGAATCCTATGGTTCCAGCAGCCTGGAGGCCTTGGCGACGTAACACGAGGAAGTCCTTGGTTTATTGTCATGGCGGATAATAGATGGATCTAGGCGTACCCCCCAGAACTCAGGGCAGTCCCGAGTTATATAGGGAGGGAGAAAGGGGGAAGATTGGGGGAGGATCTAGGGGGAGGCATGTTTAATTTGCTCTGCCCTCTGGCCTTCATTAGTATGTAAATCCCTAGGGCCTGAGGCCTATAGCCTGGCCTATGTGATTCTATGGAGACCTGACTGCTTATTCAGGATCCTGGGTTCTGGGGGGCGCCAAACTCCTGCCAGTTCTCATGCAGAATCCCACCCAGAGTCTGCAGAGTCTCGGGGTTCTAGGCACCTGCTCCACCACGACCCAGGATACCCTTACGCAGTCCCACAATAGAGTAGCAAACCATCTTCACAGGTTACCTCAGAATGCTTACAGGAAGAACTATTTTATCTCTTAAAAATAATCTGGAGTCTCTTAGTCTGATTTATGTATCTGAGTATTTTGTCTGCGTGTGTATCGTGCATGCCTGGTGCTCTCAAAGATCAGAAGAGCGGTGTAAACTGGTATGTGGGTGCTGGAAACAGATCCAAGGTTATCTGCAAGAGCAACAAGTGTTCTTAACTCGTGACAGGATCTCAGTGTAGCCCTGGCTTGGCTGGAACTCCCAGGGATCCACCTGCCTCTGCCTCCCAAGTGTTTGGATTAAAGATTTATTGTACTTTAGAGTGTGTGTGTGTTTGTGTGCCATGGTGTTCATGTGAGGTCAGAGAACCATTTGAGGGAGTCTGTTCTCTCCTTCAACCATCTTAGTCCCAAGGATTACATTCAGATTATTAAGGCTTGGCAAACAGGTATGTACCCCACTGAGCCATCTTGTGAGCCCCTCATTCTCTTTCTGATAATGTGAAATCGGATGTGAGGAATAGTATCTCCCTGGGTAGAGTGGCACCTGCCTGTAATCCCAGTGCTTGCTGTAACTGACATAGGAGGACTTCTATGAGCTCAAGGCTATGTGGATTTCCCCCAAAACTAAACCATCCCCTCTGCTCACAGAAAAACAAACAAAAAATGGTATGTGGGAGATAGAAACTGAACTTAAGTCCTCTGGAGGAGCAGAGAGTGTTCTTAACTGCTAAGCCACCTATTAGTCTTGAAATAAAATAATAATAATAAATAAATAAATAAATAAAAATAAAAGCATACAGGTCTTGCAAGGACTGAGTCCGGTTCTGAGCGGGACATAGGGCTGACTACAACTGTCAGGAGCTCTAGCTCCAGGCTAACCGATGCCCTCTTCTCTGGTTTCCCAAAGCATTTGCACTCACATGCATCAACCTCACCCCCAATCATTAAATGAAACCTTGAAATTTTGAGGTTGGGTCTTACTAGGAATCCCAGTCTGGCATGGAACTCTTAGTCCTCTTGCTTCAGGATCAGCAGAGGTGAGTTACAGGCGTGCAACCTGTATATCTTTCTTCTGTGAGCGGTTTCCTGTGGTTTTAAGTTGTACATTTACTCCAAGTTATTCCATACGAGAAATTAAAAGTTCCCACATTTATTAGACGTATATCCTGTGCAGATGGCATTAGTATTTTGAAGTCACAGTTCAATAAGAACTGTTTCCATGAAATAATCCAAGATTGCTTCAGTTTTGAAGATGTGGATACTTCAGATGTGGGTTTTGAAGATGTGGATACAGAATTCAACCCATAGTTATAGAGAGGACATTCTAATGTGGGGCTATGTGACTCAAAGCTTGAGCGCACGTTTTGTTTTGTTTTTCGAGACAAGGTTTAGCTGGCCTGGAACTTACAGCAATCCCCCTGCCCCAGCCTCCCGAGTGATGCAATGACAGACCTGTCACCATATCCTGCTTTGTGCTCAACCTTTACCAACTCCAGTTTGGGGCCTCTATAAGCATCTAGGAGGCTGGCCCTGGCAACACAGGCTTTTAATCCCCGTGCTCAGGAGCTAGAGGCTCTGACTGTAGGACAGCCAGGGCTACACAGTGAAACCATATCTCAAAAAATAAACAAATAATAATAAAAAGGTAGGACTGGCGAGATGGCTCAGTGGTTAAAAAGAGCACTCACTAGCTGCTCTTCCAGAGGTCCTGAGTTCAAGTCCCAGCAACCACATGGTGGCTCACTTCCATCTATAAGGGGATCTGATGCCCTCTTCTGGCCTGCAAATCAGAGCACTCATACATTAAATAAATAAATTAAAAAAAGAAAGTCTAGAACGGTGTTTCTCACCCTACCTAATGTGACTCTTTAATACAGTTCCTCTTGTGGTGACCCCCAAACATAAAACTATTTTCGTTGCCACTTCATACCTGTTAATTTTGCTAAGAATAGCAAAATAATCATAAATATCTGAGCTTTCCGATCGTCTTAGACAACCCCTGTGAGAGGGTAGACTCCCAGATTAAGAACTCCCAGGTTAAGAACCCCTGGTCTAGGAACTAGGAACACAGGAAAGAGAAAACAAGATCAAAGCGTATGTAAATAAAGCCCTTTGACTGCCAGGAAGTAATCACTCGGGCCTTCGGGGAAAGCCAGCTTGTTGGTGTTCTACTGCGCATGTGTAACGCTCTCCCTCCAGCTCAGAACGAGGCTCTTTTAAAAAAAAAAAAAAGTTACCCTGACGGGCGTTGCCTAATGTACGCAGGCGCGCTGCTGTCAGCCTGCCTCCTCCTTGTCCCCGCGCTTGCGGTCTGATGTTTTCTGAGGCCATTCCCTTGGTCTACTACGTCACTTCCTGTTTGTGGCTGGAAAAGGCGGTATTTCCGGCCAGCGGGTGGGAGGGGGCTGTGAGCGGGGGCTGGGGGGAGGGGGCGGGGGGGGGCCGCGCTGCGCGAGCCGTTGGGCCTGACTCCGAGAAGGCGTCGCCGCCGCCAGCACTTGCCGCCGTTGCTGCCGCCAGTTAATAAACAAGGAGCGGGAACGAGCTCAGCGTGGCGATGGGCGGGGGTAGAGCCCCGCCGGAGAGGCTGGGCGGCCGCCGGTGACAGGTGAGGACGCCAGCGCGTGTCCCCAAGCGCCCTCCCCTCCGCGATGGTCGCGTCCTGGCCCCCCGTGGGGCCTCGCTGGGCCGTACCACCCGTGCCCGCCGGGCGGGGACCACGGACCTGGAGGCTTCCCCCCCTCTTTCCGGAATTAAGTGGGGGCGTCTGCTGCGGGGCTTGGCGGGGGGACAAGCCCAGAGGGACGTGGGGCGGGTGCCGCGGTCCATACCACTGAGGCGGCGGGGGGAGCCCTCTCGGAGTGTGCCGGCTGGGCTGCCCTCGGGGGATGTCGGGGGAGACAGGTCCTCCTCTGCGGTGCCAGCCTGTCCAGCTTTTGAGGCGCGCACCGTGTCAAGTGTAGACGGCTGTGCCGCTTGGGTGCTTTGGGAGCCGTTCCTATAGGGCACTTAGAGGGATGGGAGCCTCTGGAGTAGAGGGATCTGTACCCAGGGTGGCCACGTTGGGGCCGTCAGGGTAGTACCCCCTAGGCACGAGAGAGCCGTCTTCAGTACTTAGAGGAGAGCGGGGTCGGGAGGAGGGCTGCGATGTTTATCCTATTTGAGGCACAGGGTGTTGGGAGGCCCGAGTGAGTGTTCAGGGGCGTACTTTTAGGGGTGTGATACTGAGTGGGCGAGGAGCGCTTTTCTCTTCCTGTAATATGCAGAGGTGGGCGTTTACACTCAGCTCACCCTTTATTGAACTTCTTAATGACTTTGGGGAAAACGGGATCGTTACTGGGCTGCATTTTTATCACCGGGCTGTTCGCTTTCCACTCTCCACTCCAGAACCCTCTCAGATTATTTCTCTTTAAGGTGTGTGGGACATCCTTTGGCAAGTTCTTTGCTTCCGGGGGTGGAGATGTGTCTTAGAAGTCACTGAAGTTTTCTGATCTCTAGTCTGGCTCCCTATTAGGAAAGGGAGGGGCTGTCGGGCTTGGAGAAGGAGAGGTGCCTCTGGACCTGCTTGTCACCTTTTGGGCGGAAGGTGTGTTTTAAGGGACAGCTCTCCAGAGCAAGGTGACGGGGGACATCTTTATTCCCAGAATTTGGGGCCCCTGTTTCTCTCATTTGGAGAACTTTTGGGGCCTGATGACAGGCCTCCCTCTGCTCTGCTAGAAAAACATAGGGTTCAGGTCAGGCTGATTTTTAGCCTGTTTATTATTCCCTCCCCAGAGATGCAGGTGAGAGTTGAGGTACTGCCGGCTGTGGTGGACATGGGATGTGAAGGGGCCTATACCAGCCCAGCCCACGTTTCTCCATCCCTGGCCACGTGGCTGCTTGGGCCTCCCTGCTACCAGCTCAACCAAGAGTCCTGTTTACGCTCTCAGAGTTGAGTGATAACAGTTGGCCTCTTGGGGAGGTTGAGTGCTGTTTTCCCAGCTGTTCTCTCTGCCGAGGCCAAGGGGACGTGGAGGGGAGGCACTTTATCCAGCTTGGTCTGGCCGAGGGAGAAAGGCTACTTAGCAGTGTTTGGGATTGTCTAAGGTTCCTCACAGACCTAGCCTTTCTTTGTGGTCCCTAAGCAGGGAACCCCAGAAGTGTGTCCAGCGTCCTTGCTCCTTAGGCCAGCTTGTGATTGTGGCTTGCCCTGTAACCTTTGTCCTAGGTCTAAATTTCCTGGAAGATTGGCTGCAGTCCCTGACTGACCTAGCTGACCAGTCTGGTGATATGGTCAAGGAAACAGACAGTAGCCATTGGTCTACAGCCTTGGTGTCTATGCTGACTGACTTCAATGCGGCATGGGTTCCCAAAGAGAAAGGTCCAGGCGGCGGGTGTTCTCCAGTGTGTTTTTCCACCAGGGATGTGCTTCTGTAGTCCTCTCTGAGTAGCTTTTAGAGGCTCTGCCTGGTAGAGTTAACCGGACCTATAAAAGTCATGACCGTGAAATTGATGGCTGACCTGCACTCAATGCATTCAGTATGCCTGCACACTGTGTAGGATGCCTTGTATTAGAGCAGCAGAGTCTGTTGTCATGCTCTCCTTTGAGAGAAACTTGAGTCCCAGGGCTCCACCGTTTCAAGTGATAGTGGGTAGCGTGTGCCAGTCAGTATTCTCATCATGCTGTGGATGTGATAGGCCCTTTGAACATGGGGTCATGTAAGTCTCAAATACTGTAGTTGTGTATCTGTTGTTTGGTCTACTTTATAGAGGCCGAATAGTGAGATATTATGCCCAGTGATAATAGTAAGGAATGTTATGCCCAGGTCACAGGTAAGGCAACCAATGCACTGAGCCATGGTGGCTTCTGTTTGTGACTAAATAGGCTTGTGGCTTTATAGAGTGTTTATTTCCTTTTGTTTAAGCACAATCAGAAGTTGAGGCCTGAAGGAGAAGGTGCTTTTTTTCCAGGTCTGTATCAGGCCCCTTGGCAGGCAGGCTGGCATTTAGACACAGATTATATAGACCCTGGTACCATACTCTGTTTGTTCAAGAGGTCCCAGGCTGCAGTGGTCTCTGCCCATTTGACTTTGGTTCTGAGTATCTGCTTTCTTCCCCAGGCTGGGGTGATTTGACTGTTCCTGTACTTGACAGTTTCAGCATTTCAGGTTTTTCTGGAGAAACTTGAGGACAGAACTGAATTAGACATCTTTTAGCCCTGAGTACATGTGTGCTGGGGACAGGAGGAGCTAGCAGGAGAGCCATTCGGTTAGGTGGTGAGAGCAGCTATGGGCCCCAGTTAGAGCCAGGATGAGGATTAGTTCTTCTGGCTGTGGGATTGGGACCACAGTGTTCGCTTACATGCAGTGGACTCCGAAAGGCACCCACCTCCAGCTGCTGTGAGGAGCTGATAGGAAGCTTCTGCCATGGTGCCAAGCCATGGAAGTCTCTGCCGACACTCGGAACCTGTCATGGGACAGAGGCACCTGCCTTATTCATCCCCTGCTTTCAGTTCTGTTAGGTATCTAGGGATCCAACTCTGTCCAGTCTCCATCCAGACATTCAGTGTCCTGGTTCCCAGCTTCTGTAAAGCGTTATGTTGGGCTGACAAGATGGCTCAGTGGGTCAAGACATTGCTGTGTAGGTCTTGCAGCCCGTGTTCCATCCTCAGAATCCATATAAAGGTGGAAGGCGAGAACCAACTCCACAGTTTCCTCTGTCCTACACATGCATGTCATAGCATGCGCCCAGTTATGCACATGTACATACACAATAAATACAGCTCTCAAAAAGGCTCTGGTGTAGTGAGCACTGAGTTCAAATCCAGTCTTCCAGGTGCTAGTCGTGTAGTTTTGAGTGGGTAGTTCAGCCTTCTTGAAGCCTTGGGGAGTCCAGGGAGGTAATGCCTTCCTTAGAGGGCAACAGGGAGTCCTAGATAGTGCAGCCTCTCCTGTGTGTGACACAGTGATAGGCAGGTGTGTGCTCAGGGTGACCTGGCAAGCTGTACGTCATCTCCTGCTGCTGGACTCGGGGCCCTCGCCAGTTTGTAGAAGTTTGTCAGAGGACATCAGGAGGAAAGTAGGGCTGAGGTTAGCCTCTTTCTCAGATATAGAGACAAGGGGGCACACAGTAAAGTCAGCTAACAAGTGCATCTCGGTACAAACTGGAGATCCTTCCCACATTCCGGATCTAGTTCACACCTTTGTTTCGTGTGCTTTTCCTAAATCCCTACCGCAGCCATGGAGTGGTGGGAAGGCTGGGAGTGGGCAGGGTGTTGCATCAGGTGAAGATACTAGGGTACTGACAAAGGGCCCCCTCTGTCTGACGTTGTACAGCTTGTCTTTAATCCCAGCACTGAGGACACATGTCGGTGGGTCTCTGTGGGTTCCAGGCCAGTCTGATCTACATAGTACGTTCCAGATTAACCAGGACTACATAGTAACACCCTGTTTACAAAACAGAAGTCCTTTGTGGAGCTGAAGGAGACCGACAGGAGGGTGAGCGAGGAGTGGGTTAGCTGCTAGGTGGTGAATCTGGGTGAGGCCATGGGGACTATCAGAAGCTTCTTTAGATGTAGTGGCAGGGAAGGCAGGACAAGTGTGTGAGTGAGACAAACCAGCCTGGGAGCAGCAGGCAGCCCACAGTGGGGGGCGTGGCGGGAGGATAGGCTCAATGAGAGGTAAAGATGTACCACACACAGGGAGAGGCCTGCGTGACCAAGTGAGTGCTGGTGGCCAGGGGATGGGGTGTGTGCTGCTTCCTCAGCCTGGGAAGGAGTTTGGAGTCTGAGGATTTACTCAGTTGGGTGGTGATTTTGGCCTTGGAGGTTTTCAAGCTTCTGCCTAGGGCCAGGCTGTGTTTCTCATGCCTCCCACTTCCCCCTCAAGAGACTAACTGCCCTACAAGTGCTTTGGTGGAGACCCACTGGTTGCCTCCCTTGTCTGTGGTTTCACGCTGTGTTCCCCAGGGCCATGGGTGGTACATTTAGGGATGGAGGTGGGGACTCAATGGGGGTGACTTGTCTATGCATCTCCGGCTAGCCTAGCCAGCTACTGCTGCTAAGGAACAATATGAATGGCTGTCTCACTGATAGGACGGACGGGTCCTTGCCACCATTTGCCTACCGCTTCTCCAGTTAGCTCCAGAGTTGGAAGGAATGGGGTCTTGGGCCTTACCTTCTAGTGAGAATGAGGACCAGCTTGTAGTGTGACAACACAGCAGGTCAGGGTTGGTGTTGTCAGGGCAGGACACGTGGAGGGTAGGAGAAAGGACGTGAGGACACGATTCAGTTTTGTTCAGATGGTCAAGGAGGGTCTTCCTCGATAAGATGGACATGAGGGCTCAGCTGGACTGTCATGATGGAGTCATGGCAGACCCGGGGTGAAACCCCTGAGGATGGAAGGACGTGGCTCTGGCTGTCCACTAATGCCCTGAAAGCCCCAGTACCTTTACTGGGCCCCGACTGGAAGGGAATGAGACGCAGTGTCTGGATGGTTTGGCTCCGGGGTCCCCCAGCACAAAGGTGCTTAGTGGCCTAAAGGAGGATGTCTTTTAGTCTGGCCTGTGAGCCTTGTCCCTAAGGCGTAGTGCATAGGCAGGCGCCCGGTGTGTGTTTTCCAAGGCTTGAAC